ACAAAATAGGTCGTCACAATTCAAATCAGGAAGACTCATAGATACATTGACTTCTTGTCAAATATTATGCACGATTCCATAAGAGTTAATTTTTCAAAAATGTCGAGGCATACGACCCGATTGCATCATACTGTGTACACTGCTGAGAGGTCGAACGACACGAACCATAGATGTATCTATTATACTGCCCAGGAGAATGGCCCGCTCCCATGAGAGTGTGTCGAGGCGAACTTCCTGATCCCATTAGAATAAGAAGCTTTAAGGGGTCCTTGAACCCACTCACAAACAAACGTTTGAGTTATGAATTTGAACGAAAACCTTTCGATTAAAATGCATAGCGTGGGAGAAATCCGTAAGAGGAACACAATTATTTCGTGGCTAACCATGAAACTCATCAAATCTTTACAATAGTAAGTCTATCACTGTACGCAATTATAGCCTCAAGTCGTAACGTAAAATAATGGAATTTAATAGGCAAGGAACAACTCAAATAGCATAGTCATAGCATAACATGAACCTAAGTCTACTCGAAAATATCATGAATCTAGCTACGTACGGACTCTCGTCACCTCGTTCGTACGTAGCACCCACGACAAGTAATACATAACAGATACATCACCTAGGAGTAGTTTCCCCCTCACAGGGTTAGACATGAGACTTACCTCGCTCCGAAGTTCCATAACCGGCTCCAAAACCTCTCTAACACCTCAAACCGATGTCCGTCGATCCAAAACTAGTCAAACATTGTGCAAACCAATAAACATATACTCTAATACTCATAATAAATCAATTCATAACAATTCCCAACTCCGCTCGAAAAATCAATAAAATCAACCCTCTGGCCCACGTGCCCGGATTTTGAAATTTTTGAAGATAAACATTATCCATAGCATTACGAACTCAATTATATAATTTATTTTCAATGCCATGTCAAATTTCGTGGTCAAAATCCAAACATATCAATTTCTAGGTTTTCTTCAAAATCCTACAATTTCAACCAATTTCCATGTTCCAATTCATGTATGATTCATGCATTTAACTCACAATGAGAAGAAATCACTTACCCCATAATAGATAATCAAGATGGCACTCCAAAATTGCTCCAAAGTCGGCTCCCCATAGAAGAAATGAAGTGAAAATCAGCCAAACCCCCGATTATTAAAGAACACTTCCCAACCCGACCATCGCACTTCCGGCCACATGACCGCATCTGCAGTCTCGCGGGAACAGCCAAAACCTCGCTGCCCAGCACAACTCTACATTCGCGATGCCAAACACACCCATGTGGTCCCGCACATTCGGAGACCTTGCGCTTCTGCTACTCCAGCTGCCCAGCTCGCATTCTGCTTTTGCGAAGCATTCTTCGCGTCTACCGGCTCGCAGATGCAGAAATATCCTCACATCTGCGGCCATCCCAGCTCAGTCCAAGTGTTGTTTTTACGACCATAATGCCGCACCTGCGGCCCTTTCAACGCAGGTGCATTCGCACCAGATATGAACTGCCTCAGCACTTCTTCTAAGTCCAAAATCGATCCGTTGATCATCAAGAATCCACCTGAGGACCCCAGGACCTCAACCAAATATACCCACATATTCAAAATCACTACACGGACTTAGTGGAAGCCTCAAAAAAACGTTAAAAAACATCAACATTACAAATTGACGATCGAACCCTTTCTTTAAACTTTCAAACATTCAAACTTCGCCGAATGCGTCCCAATCATATCAAAACATTCCGGATTGACGCCAAACTTTATACATAAGTCACAAATCCCGATACAAACCTATTCCAAGGCTTGGAACACCAACTAGACATTAATAACACCAAAGTCCACTTCAAAGCAATCTTATGAAACTCTAGAACTTCCAAAATGCCAGCTTTCTGCAATAAGCGCTGAAATGCTCCCGGAATACCTGATACTCAACCCGAACATACGCCCAAGTCCGAAATCATCATAAGAACCTATTGGAACTTGAAAATCCTGATTTTGAGGTCGTTTACTCAAAAGCCAAACCTTAGTTAATTCTTCCAACTTAAAGCTTCCGAAACTATATTTTTCCATCCTAATCAACTATTAACTTCCCGAAATTCAATTTCGACCACACGTACAAGTCATAAAACATAAAGTAGAGCAACTCATGGTGTCGTACCGCCGAACGACATGCTAGAGCTCAAAACGACCTACCGGGTTGTTACAGAAGTATTACCCTCCTACTTTAAGTGTTGCATCTTTTGAGGATGCACATGGTTTTCTAGACCAGTTTCACCATATTCTGTGTACCATGGGCATAGTGGAGTTGAGCGGGATCACCCTTACTACCTGCTAGTTAATGATTCTAGCATATAGATGGTGGTGGGCTTACGAGGAGAGTAGGCCAGCTGGCGCAGCGCCACTTACTTAGACTCAGTTCACTGATATATTTTTTAGGAAGTTTGTTCCATAGATTCTCTAGGATGCATTGTGCATCGAGTTTAACAGTTGCATCATGGGAGTATGACTGTGTCCGAGTATGCTATGAGGTTTGCTAAGTTATCTCATCATGCACATGCTTTGGTTTCCACTGTTAGAGAGAGAGTTTGTAGATTTATTGGGGGACTCAATTATGGTCTCAGATTTGAGATGTAATGGGAGTTGGAGAATGATACAACATTTCATCAGGTTGTGGAGATCGCTAGGAGGTTGGAGCGTATCCGGGGTCTAGAGAGAGAGGATAGGGAGTCTAAGAAGCCTCGTGGACCTGGAGGATCTACTGATCCTTATTTTGGGGGCAGGGCATGTCATGGTAGAGGTTTTGTTGGTCAGTCAGTTTAGTCTGCACTATAAGCTTCATGTAGTGCTCCAGCTATCCATGGGTCCTAGAGCATATGTTCCAGATAGCTTCCACAGCCACGTTAGTAAAGAGGTTGCTTTGAGTGTGGGAATATCGGGCACATGGTGAGAGATTGTCCCAGACTCTAGGCGGGTGTACCTTAGCAGTACTCAGGCTATGGGTTCCTGCTTAGTTGCTACTAAAACTGCACAGGTAGTTAGAGATGGGGGACATACGTATATAGGGATTCCTAGAGGGGGGAGGCCAGGGTTCCTTGTTATGCTTTCACTAGTAAGGCTGAGGCCGCTGCACTAAATGATGTTGCTACAGGTATGTTTCCCATTTCTCTTAGAGATACATTACTTTTTTTTATACGGTCCTATTTATTCATATGAGTAATCTTATCTTGTCCATATATGGATACGTTTCGTTATTCTTCTACTCTAATTATATGTCTACACTTGTTGGGAGCTCTAAATTAGTAGACCGTGTCTATCATTCTTGTTTGGTCACTATTGGAGGTTGTGAGACTAGGTTGAATTTGTTGTTATTTAGTATGGTGGGATTTGACGTGATTCCGGATGATTTGGCGATGGCTTGCGATTGACGTGCTCTACAGCCATGGGGAGTTTGTTGCATGTTGTGGTTTTGTTATACGGGTGATGGAAGGCTATAATCTCATGTTTTTGTCACTTTTTATACTCTGATTCACTGCACTTTACTTGTGTTTGAGCTTTAAAAGGGTAGTGTTATGCATTTCTTCTTTGTTTTATGCCTTGGAGGAGTGATTCCAAGCTATGTAGATGTTGTGGAGCTAACGCGAGCTATTTGGAGCTTTCAAGTCTGAGTAAAAGCCCGAAGGATTAAGTCGGGATCGTGTTCGGGGGTCGAGAACCACGTTTGGACATCAAAAATAAAGGAAGAAGCAACACTTTGAGAAATTTGCACTGCTGTAGCGCGTGGTGCGCCGCGACAGCGTGTTTTGGTCGTTGATGAATTTTTCAAGCTCTTTGATAAGTTCCACTAATGTCCTGCATGGCGCGTCGCCCCATCCGACGCGCTTGTGTATTTTTTTTTTTGTAGAGCTATTGTCCTATTTCGTCTAGGAAAGAGTGGTTTCATCTGGGCCCGACCCTACTTGGTATAAATACATGGAAAAATGTTATTTTCTGGACTTTTGACATACTTCAGACCTAAGGAGGCTAAGGAGGATTTGGAAGAACAAAAGCACAAGGACTTCACTATTCCTTCCTCACTCAAGACCCGAGTTTGGATTTAATTTATGTTTTCCTATACTTTATTTATATATTTGATGAATTTCTCCATGTCTATGGAGTAGTTCCCTTTAGGGTTTAATGGATTTGGTGTATTGATGATTTATTGTGCATTATAACTCTGGTTTTATATATTGAAGTATTTTTGGATGATTTAATTGTTGCATCTATATTCACTAGTTCATGTAATCGAGAAAGGCATAACTTGTGATATCCTTGCATTATATTGTTTGTTGAGTTCATAGATTCTTCTAAGTAATCAAAAGAGGCTAGTCGAATCATTGATTACACCTAGTTCGGAGAATAATCGAAAGAGGTTTTCTTTAAAACCAATCCACTATGCATTCGTGCATATCTTCACAGTGTTTAATTTGGTTCATCTTGTGTGGTTGAGACTTAATCGAGAGAGGAGTTTCTTCTGAACCTTTTAACTAATAATAGAGTGAACTCGAGAGACTCGGTTGAGCATTAGAAGTGAATTATCTAGAGTTAGATCCCGAATAATTTTCTTGCACTTATCCTATCAAAACCATGTTTTCTCCTACTAATAACCTTATTTGCTTATACCTTGTTTTGATAGCCACTACTCAATAGCTAGTTAATTTTAGTATTATTCATGTAAATCTAAACTATTGATCCTCCTTGATAGCAATCAAGCTAGGATCTCGAGAATACTGGTTAACTCAAATCCTTGTGGATACAATATAATACTATATTATCTTTGATTAGCGAGCATAAATTAAGTGTGTTTTGCGCTCATTTAATTTTGGCGCCATTGCCGGGGATTGGCAATCAATAGTGTTTGAAATAGTTTGTAGCGCTAATTAAGGAATTTTTTCTCTTTTTTATTTTATTTTTCTATTTTTATATTTGGTGTTCTTTGATTATGCGCAAGTTATAGGATAAGATTGGTGCATGACTCGAGCTTCTGCGAAAGAAGTGCTACCGTACGAGCCAGAGTTAGAAAAACAACCGCGTGAGGTGAGGAAAGAAAGAGATCTCACCGAGAAGTTAGTAAAGGTTGGGCAATCCTCAACCCAAACAACTATGGCCGGAAACGATGATGATAATGTAAATTTGGCTGCAAGAGAGGCAGCCCAACAATGAGAAAAAGTTGCACGGGATTCTGAGCAACCAGCTACTGGAGCTGCACAAATAGTCTATGAAAAAGAGAGGGGTCAAAGAATTAATCAAATCAACCCTTGGCTGCGGACCAGTTCAGAAACATAGCTCTCGGGCTTGGGAGATCACTTGGTGACTATGCTAGACTGGTCTACAATAAAGGATTATCAAATGTTAGACCATCTCCAATTGCTGCTAACAATTTTGAGTTGAAGCAAGGGTTGCTTCAAACCATTCAGAATTGTTGTGTCTTCAGAGAAAAGATGAACGAAGATCCAAACATACATCTAATGGACTTCGAGGAGATTATGAACACCTTTCAATACAATGGGGTGTCACAAGATGTAGTGTACTTAAGGGCATTCCCCTTTTCACTTAAAGATGATGTGAAGCAGTGGATTCGAATCTTGCCCACGGGACCGATTAGAACATGGGATGAGATGACCAGAACATTCCTTGATAAATATTTCTCCTCAGCTATGACCGACAAGTTTAGAAGAGAAATCCATAACTTTTGCCAAAAAGAGACAGAAACAGTTTTTGAAGCATGTGAGAGGTTTAACGAGATAGTTAGAAAGTGTCACCATAGCGGAATTAAACTCTGGATGCAACTCCAGGACTTCTAGGATGGATTGACATCGGCCTCGCATAGAACATTGAGCAATACAACCGGGGGACCTTTGATGAGGAAGACTCCAAAGGAGATAGTTACAATTCTTGATGAGTTATCTGAAGACGCAAATCAGCGGCACTCTGATAGTGCTGAAAGAAGAAGATCAATTGGTATTCACCAAGTTGATGTTAATACATCTGTGCAAGTACAACTTGATGATATGGCTTAAGAAATACGAAAGCTGACCTTAGCCACAATACAAAGTGAGCCTCACGCATCTTGTGATATATGTTGAAGAGGACACCCTACTCAGAAGTGTCAAGACTCAACTGAGGAAGTTAATGCTGTGGGAAATTATAATTTTAATGCAATGGGTCAGAAGCACCCTGTTTTTTCATGGAGTTTACCTGGGGGGTATTGCAAATGCATAGAAACAAAACAATCCTAGATTCCAAGGACAAGTAGCTCCTAGTTTTATTAATCAGCCGAGGCAACAGTTTCAGCCTCAACAACCCAATCAGCCTAGTCTAGAAGATCTACTGAAGTCCTTCATTGTGAAAACTAATGAAAGATTTGAAGTACAAGTGGCAGCAATTCAAAATTTAGAGAAGCAAGTGGGACAGATTGCAGCGATATTTTCTGAGAGGGTTCCTGGAACTCTCCTTGCTGATACTGACAAAAATCCCAAAGAAACAATAAATGTTGTAGCCTTGAGAAGTGGGCAAGTGTTGAATGATCTCACCCCAATCCAAAAAGATATGAAGCTTGAAAAAAAAAGTGGGGAACAACTAAAAGGTAATGTTGATAAGAAGAAGAAGGTTCAGATGGCATTTGAGAAAAAAAAGAACGAAGAAACTTCAAGAAGGGAGGAACCTAATGAGAGAAAGCATATGCTTGCTCTACCTTTCCCCCAAAAGGTATATAGAGAAAAGTTGGACAAGCAGTTTGAGGGACTTTTGGATGTGCTGAAACAGGTTGATGAAAACTTACCATTCATAGAAGTGGTCTCACAAATGCTAGCTTTTGCTAAATTCTTAAAGGAGATCCTTATTGAGAAGAGAGAAATAATGGAGACCTCCGCGGTCAAGCTCAGAGCATTGAAGCACGACATTACAAAATAAACTCCCACAAAAGAGTGTGGAGATCCATGGAATTTTACTATGTCTTGCTCGGTAGGAGCTAGTAATTTTGATAAATCCTTATGCGATTCTGGTGCCTCAATAAATTTAATGCCTCTATCTATATACAAGAAACTGGAGAAGGAGATTGGAGAGATAAGGTCCGCATCCATATCTTTGCAGATGACAGACCAAACAACTATAACGCCCGAGGGGATAGTGGAAGACGTGTTAGTTCGAGCGGATAAGTTTGTATTTCCTATGGATTTTGTAGTGGTAGGATGGAGGAAAACAAGGAGGTCCCATCATCCTAGGAATACCATTCTTAGCGACGGGCATAGCTATATTAGATATACAGGAGAAAAAACTCATGATTAGAGTGGGTGGGGACACTGTGACTTTTAAGATGGATGTACCCAAGGGGTCTCAAAAGAACAAATCAATTGTGAGTGTTGAATAGAAAATAAAGCGCTCGGAAGAGAAGGCTACAGTGAGCGAGAAAGATAAGTGTGGGGTGTACCCAAAGAAGGCCGAGAACAAGATGTCTACATGGATATGTGCATTAGCTCGGGCGCGAGGAATGGAGCCTGATTTCAACTCAGACCCCAACTAGATGTTCAGGAAAGTTCCTTTACCTTATGATTTTTAATTACGTGTCATGGGGACATGCCATAAATTAAGGTGTGGGGTGAGGGATATTTTGTATGTATGTATATTAGTTTTATTAGTTAGAGATGGAAAGAAAACATAAAATATTTAAAATTTTCAATTTTTTGCGATGATGGATATTATCGACAAATTTCTTGAGGGATTAAATTCGAAGGCAAAAGACAAAAAGATTTTCTTTTGCTAGGTAATGTAACAAGTCCCCCTTGGTTTTTCTTTGTGCTGCAGTTCTTTTCCAAGGGTTTCGTTTGAACCAGGTTTAGTTAGTTTTTATTTTATTTAGGAGTAGGAAACCTTGAACTATGATTTGAAAGAAAGGAAATATCTCTTGACTTTATTATGCCATGAGAATAGTGATTGATTTAGTTGTGACACTTGGGCTTAGTTTTTGACTCATGTATAAGTACCTCAAATTGTATGATCTTAACTGTGCTTAACTGCTTTAACTAGAGTGTCTTGATGAGTCTGATCCTGAGTGAGTTATGTCCCATATATGTGTGAGGTTTTACTGTATTCTATGAATTGCATCGGATGTCTAGAACTTGCCCCGTGTGTTTGAAAAACGAAATAGTACTTTTATTAAGTATTGGAAATGATATAGGCATTTCTTTGTTTAGCCAGATATATGGCTTTACCCACGTTATTAGTGTGTATTTTAGTTAACTTCTTTGAGCCTGTAATCTTGTTTCTTTGGCAACCACATTACAACAATTACCCATTTGTTTTAATTGACCATTTATTTGAACCTTGTACTTCTCGTGAGCACTTGAATTTGTTATTAATTTTGTAAAAGTTAGAGTGTAGGGTGTTGGTTTTGCTTTCGAGTCGAACTATTGAAAAAAGGAGAATGGTGCACTATTTTGAAAAAGTAAGAGCCACTTGAATTGAAAAAGAAAGTGAAAAATTATAGTTTTATTGTTGTGAAAAATATTTCTTGATAGTGGTGACTCTTGATGTAATTGTGCTTAAAGAAGTAGGGAGTTAATGTATATTGATGTGAAGTTCGAGTTATGGTTTGACATAAGTGCGGGGTTTTGAATGGCTAATTGTATATTAAAAGTTCATCGGGAGGTGTAGTCGCTCCTATATCTAAATGTAACCTACCCTTCTCAGAGCCTACATTACAATAAATTAATGTCCTACTTGATCCTTGATTGAATGAGCGTAGTACACGACGGGCAAACCTATGGTACGACATTTGTGGCATATGAATGTTGTTTCTGAGAGTGAGTGAATTCTTTCTATCTTGAGTTCCTAATTGTTCTTAAATTTTGTATGTGGAACTACTCTCTATTGTTGTGTGAGGGCACTTGAGTCATGAAGGAAAGGTAATGTCGTTGACCTATGTGTTAAAGTAAGTAAGCGGGTTGTGAAAACTGCGTTGTGCTTTTGAGTCAAATCTTGAGGCGTGCATGTTACGGCATTGTGCTTAATCTGTTTTAATTATTCTTAGTGTGATGAGTCAGGAGAGTTGTTTAAAAAGGTCGTGTCTATATAAAGTGTAGTTTAATTGCTCGAGGACGAGCAATGGTTTAAGTGTGGGGTGTTGATGGTAGGCTATAATGACGTGTTTTAGTCATTTATTGCACTCTAATTCACTCCACTTTACTTGTGTTTGAGCTTTAATTGGTAGTGTTTACACTTATTGTGTTTTTTATATCTTGTAGGAGTAATTCCGAACTATGTAGATGTTATGCATCTAATTCGAGCTATTTGGAGCTTTGAAGACAGAATAAAAACCCAAAGGATTAAGACGCGATCGTGTTCGGGGGTCGAGGACCATGTCTAAACATCAAAAATCGAGGAAGAATCAACACATTGAGAATTTTGCACGGCTACAGCGCGTGATGCGCAACAACAATGTGTTTTGGCTATTGATGAATTTTGTAAGCTCTGTGCTAAGTTCTGCTAATGCCCCACGTGGTGCGTCATCCCATGCAGTGCGCGTGTGTATTTTTTCCAGAGCTATTGTCCTATTTTGGCTAGGAAAGGGTGGTTTCGTTTGGGCCCGACCCTACTTGGTATAAATGCATAGAAAAACGTTATTTTCTGGACTTTTGACATACTTTGGACCCAAGGAGGAGTTAGAAGAACAGAAGCACAAGGATTTCATCATTCCTTCCTTTCTCAAGTCTCGAGTTTTGATTGAATTTATGTTTCCTATACTTTAATTATATTTGTGACAAATTTCTCCATGTCTATGGAGTAGTTCCCTTTAGGGTTATATGGATTTGGTGTATTGATGATTGTTTGTGGATTATAACTCTAGTTTTATGTATTGAAGCATTTTTGGATGATTTAATTGTTGCTTCTGTATTCACTAGTTCATGTAATTGAGAGAGGCATAACTTGTGATATCTTTGCATTATATAGTTGGTTAAGTTCATAGATTCTTCTAAGTAATAGAAAGAGGCTAGTCGAATCATTGATTAAACCTAGCTAGGAGAATAATCAAAAGAGGTTTTCCTAAAGATGAATCCACTACGCATTCGTGCATATCTTCATAGTGCTTAATTTAGTTCATCTTGTAAGGTTGATATTTAATTGAGAGAGGAGTTTCTACTAAACCTTTGAACTATCAATAGAGTGAATTCGAGAGACTCACTTGAACGTTAGAAGTGAATAATCTAGAGTTACATCCCGAACAATTATCTTGCACCTATCCTATTAAATCCTATTTTTTCCCACTGATAACCTTATTTGCTTATACCTTATTTCGATAGTCACTAGTCAATAGCCTTATATTCTGAGTTAATTTTAGTATTAATCATATAAATCTCAAATGGTTGATCCTGCTGGATAGAAATCAAGCTAGCAACTACAAGAATACTCTTTAACTCCAATCCCTACAGATACGATATTATACGTTATAATCTTCGATTAGCGAGCATAAATTAAGTGTGTTTGCGCTCGTTTACGGGATTGAGTTAGTGGAACATTTTCTGTTGTCGGGAGGTTTATGCTAGTCATGATTCCGAGTGGAGGATGGGATCCTCGTGTTCTTTGTGGATCGATATGTTTGGACCCGGCTATGTGCCGCGGTGGAGTTATGTTACGATGCGATTCATTATGGTTGTTGTGTGTGATTTTCTTCTTCCTTGAGGGATGGATTCAGAGTATGGTACCGATGGGGAGTTGTACCTGTTGGACTTGTCAGATAGTTCTCTCATGTATTTCTCTTTCCATCTTCCAGTTATATTCGAGTTGTGGTTATTCGGTATGGATTGCGACGTATGTGTCTAAGTGGAATTTGGTGCGACTTGTCGCTTGGGTGAGTGGTATGAGTTTCCAAATGTTTCTTACTTCATTTACAGTGTTATGAAGGTTTGGGACAAGGTTCTAGCCGATATGACGTTATTTATCGGTGCTGGGTTTGGTAATGGGTAGCTACTGTGGTTGGATATGTTGCTATGGCGTGTGAGCAATGGATTACGTCATGTGGTTATACCTTGTGGGGAAATTTATGTGTTTTTGTAGTTGGTTGAGCTTGATACAATGTGTATATGTGATAATCAGGTTTTGGGGGAGGATGGGTGTAGAAATTTTGTTCTAAGGCTTATTAGTTAAGGTTGAAGGAACAATCTACAGACGAGGTGGTTTTGACGAGCCTATGTGGGTTGAGGTGATGTGGCATCACCCATGTGTATGTGTATGGTAATTTCGTCCAGTGATTAGATGGCATAGGAACGACGCTTGGCACATTCGAGGAGGAACATTTGTTTAAGAGGGGGAGAATGTAGTGACCCGACCAGTCATTTTGTGTATTTGAGCTTTGCTTCCCTTTTGAAGCTTTTTGTGTCTGTATTTGTGGTTATGTGACTTGCAGGGATGGTGGGTTTGGTTCCGGGAGGTTTTGGTTTGATTTGGAGCGCTTTCTTGATTTGGAAGCTTATGTTGGAAATATTGATCGATGTTTGACTTTGGTGAAAGTGACCCCGGAACGGTGTTTTGATGGTTCCTAAAGGTTCATTTGCTGATTTTTGATTTAGGCGTATGTTCGGAGTTGGATTCGGACATTCCTAGGTGTATTTGGCTCTTTTTAGCGAAAGTTGGCAATTTGAAGGTTTTGAAATTTCCTCAATTTGACCATGATTTGACTTTGGGGCTATTGGGTTCGAATTTTCTTTTTGGGCTTGCAATAGGTTTGTTTGTCATTACTGACTTTTCTCTAAAGTTTTGTGTCATTCCGAGTTGGTTTGGTAGGATCAGACGCTTATTTGTGTTTTTGGAAGTTCTTGAGTTTCACTGCGATTTCTATGTATTTTGGTGCTCCATTTCTGGTTTCATATTTTTATGATTCGAGTGTGCAGGAGAGTTCGTATGATGTGTACGTACCT